TTCCGAGTTCAAGCAACGCAGGAACAAGAATCCTTTGCTGCACGTCACCAGGGACGGAACCCTGGACTTGACCACGATGGTGTTTCGACCCAGTAGACCCGAGGACTACTTCACGATGTGGTCGAGCGCTTATTACAACGACCAAGGGACTGAAGCCGTTCTTAGAGCCATGGATCACTTGAACGAAATCATTCGCAGCATCTTTGTGGATCCGGACCAATTCGATTGGAACATGCGCTACTTTGCCAGTCTCCTGGATGGCAACAACGACGAGCAGTTCCTGGTCCTCGGCATCGGCAGCTCTTCCAACGGCAAGTCACTTATGGCCAAGATTCTCCGGATGACCCTTGGCCCGGTGTACTCCAGCATGTTGACCAGCTCCTACCTCCATACAAGTACTCAAAGTAGCTCTGCGGCAACTCCTGAGCTGGCATCCATCGTTGGCTCCCGCTTCGTCTATATTTCGGAGCTTGAACAAAAATCGAACAAACCTCGAGCCCTCAACACCATGCGAATCAAGAACCTTGTCGGTGGTGACGAGGTCGCCTTCCGCGATATCTACCAAGGCCAACAATCCAGGGAGCTCAGCATCAAGTTCATGATGATGTGCAACCCAGAGGACATCAACGTGCCTGAACTCATGAGGCACGATTCCATCCGGCGCCGAATCGTGATCAATCCATACCTGTCCAAGTTTGCTTTGGATCAAAAGGCATTCAACGACTATCGCGCTAAGCATCCGGGAAACCACTCTTTATGAAGGACGCTACCCTTGGAAACCTCGTTGAACAACAGGAGTACATCAACGCGATGCACTGCCTTATGCGCAAGTGGTATCCCAGATACCGAGATGGTGGATCACTCCTCAGCACTCGACCTTCAATCATGAGCCAGAGCAGCGTAGTTGGAGTACCCACCCAGGCCGATACATTGATCGAGTTCATTGATTCGACCTACATTATCCACCCGCCCGAAACTGAGGGCTTCAACAACACCGATTTCAACATTGCACAGCCGGTTCTTTCACTTGAGTTTTTCAGGTGGTTCAAATCTACCTGCATGGACAGGATCGAAACTGACGAGGTCTCCCGTTCTGTCAAGAGTGTTTGCGACAATACTGTGAGCGAACACAAAATCAAGTACCGAATCGGCAGCATCCTTGATAAGCACCAGTACCTTGCCCCTTTGAAAGTCGAGAAAACCAGCTCCAGTGGCACACAGAATTACCGTGGCCTCGAGAGAAAAGCAAGCCAACAGAAATAAGGGTTTGCATCTGTGCTGCTTTTGATTCACTTCCTTACAGTATCAGTATGTCGATGTGTTTCCCAATTAGTATCCTACTGACTTGTGAATTCAGCTCCTCTGTTGATTCCTTAGTGTTCCCCCTTCAATGAGTACCTTTCAATGATATCCGTTCGTTATATAGTATTAGTACCCACATCAGTGCCTTTATCTGTCCTCTTGGCCTTCTGAGTTCTTCTTCAGTACCCTTTTGTTTGACCATTCTACTCCTGCGATTATGGCTGGACTTCTCTTCCTGTTGTCGACGCATTGGTTCAATAAAAACACACTGTCGGGGAGGCTACATGCCTTGGCCGATGGTACAAAATCAAGAATGTCCAGACCACTGCCACATCTCAGTGACATTATCACAGCAGGCTCGGCTTGAGTTGGTTAGGCTTAGAGGGTTTAGGCTCATAGTGCCGCACTTGTTCACGCTCCCTCTACATGCTCTGCCTGTTGGCCTTTGGTTTGGGTGGGAGTGTATCTTGACAATTCGCTCAGTACACCTGGCTGCTCCATCACTGATACCACTACACAACTGTAACCACACTGACACTGATCCTGGATGATGGGTGTGACTCTTGTTCCACGGCCACATACTGCCATCATTGGTTGGGACCAGTGGTCGCAAGAGTATTGACGTCATGGCGTCTCAGACTGACTATGTGACAAGTCAACGCAGAGTACTCTGAGGAGTGGTCTTGGACTTGGAACCGTGGGAACATGCTGTCTTGGGGTAGGTGCTGCATCCAAGTTGACCCATTTGTGACTGGAGCCATGCCAATCTACTTGTGGTGCATGGTGGATGAACCAATGATCTTCGCCAAGGTTGAGACCACTGACAGATGATGGCATATCCACGATCTCAAAGCATGGATGATGAGTCTGACCTGGCATCCCACATGCCATTCCGATCTCAGACTCCGATCATCGGGTTCGTATCTCCCCCAAACTGACTCAGATTGGGGTATCCGAGGGCGTATCTACCGTGGGAAAGCTGCGTCTGGGGTGTCATGGGATGTGAATTGCATCAACCATGTGTCGTGGATGAGTAATGCATTCGCCGTGGGTGGTGATGGCATTGGTCATCGTCGATGCTGATTCGTGCGATATCGGTGCGCAGACTGTGACGTCGATCACGATGGTCGATCACGATGGCAGATAGGTCTGGTTGGGGCGATTCCCACGATCTTTGACGCTGGCGGCGATGCAGACTGGGAAACGATAAATACGGCAGCGAGGAAGACCAGCTTGACCGACATCGCCAATGCGAGTTTCGGATCGCCAACGCGGGATCGGATCGTGAAACACAGGTTCATCGCACATCGAGTTCTCTGCGAACCGCCGCACCTATCCTGCTCCTGCTGCACCAGTCCTGCTCCTGCTGCACCTGTCCTGCTCTTGCTGCACCGTGTGGCCTGCACCACACTGCTTTCACCTCTGTGTTTGTTCCAGCTCTGCCTCTCCAGTTCCCCGCCCTCGCTCCAACTCTCCCTGTTCCCTACCCTTCCCCACTGCTGAGTGATGTCCAAGGACAGACCCCAGCAGTCCCTTCTCCCGGCCTCGACCATCGCTGTCGGCAGCTTGATCTTCAAGCGCAAGGAGCGACCCGTGGCCACCCCTTCCTCCCCCGCCAAGCGTCGCCTGTCCTTGCCCGACGCAATGACCATGCTCCCCAGGCCGGAGCATGACGAGCGTCTCCCCGAGTCCGAGTTCCCGTCCGTGTCCTTCCCCGAGTCCAGGCTCCCGGCCCCGCCCGAGTTCAGGTTCCCGGCCGAACCCGACTCTTCGTTCCCGCCCTTGGACCGCGCTGCCGCCCGTGCCGCCGTCGACATTGATGAACTGGAGGACATCGATGTCGAAGAAGACCTCAGCCCGGACCAAGACCCTGACGCTGAGCCCTCGTCCTCCTGTGCCGACCAAGACCACCCTGCCGAGTCCCTGGCTCCCGTGTCCTCCTCCGCCGCTCCCCACCAAGACCACTGTGCCATGGACATTGTTGTCCAGCCCAGTGCCGACGTCGTCTCGGTTCCTTGGCGCGACGAGTTCTGGCGCAAGTGGCACGCCTCGTCCGACGTCGATGATCAGAAGGCTGCAACCCAGATCATCGACGTCACCAAGATGAACAACCAGCTGTGGATGGCCGTGACCGCCAAGCTGCAGTGCACTGTCCTGTGCCGCAAGTGCAAGCTCGCCTCGGCCGATCCCTGGATCGTCGTCAAGCACGGCAAGGACGAGTTCCAGCTCAAGTGTCCCCAGGCCCTCGAGGACGGACCCTGCCCCGGCCAGATGTCGGCCTTCCAGTTCTGGGCCCACATGAGCCGCACCACCAAGGAGTCCCGCAAGCTGTTTGTGGATGCGTTCTCGGACAAGTTCAAGGAGAACTTCCACACCAAGTGCGGCCTCAAGACCATGGACAAGCAGCGCGCCGTCCCCCGTGGTGCCTCTGGAGGTACCACTCGAGTTGTCCCTGCTTCCACTGCTGACCCCGTCGATCCAGCTCGTCGAGCTGTTGATGCTGCTGGCACTGCGTCCCCTGTCCCCAAGGCCAGGCCCGCCCTTCCGCCCCGACCCGTCGTCAAGGCCAAGACCCTTCCTCCGTCCCAGGCTGCCGTCCCGGCGATGAAACCCGAGGAGGCCCTCGCTATCCTCAAGCGAGAGGCTGACCGGGTGCAGTGCATCCTGTTCGAGGCACTCGTGGCCGACAACATGGATGCTGCCACCAAGGCCATGGTCCAGAAGATCGCCAAGTCCAATGTGGCAATCAGCCGTGCCACGGAGCAGCTCCGCAAGTCTGTTGCCAACAAGACTGCCACCCCCAAGACCCAGTCCCCCGGTTCCAAGACCCAGTCCTCCGGCTCCCTGCCTGGCTCTGCCCCTGTTTCCGCCCCGGCTCCCTCGTACAAGGCCGCTCTCTTGAAGAACGTTCGGGAGGCCGAGAGCCGTGTCGGCCGCATGTCCGAGGCCAGCCAGCTCGACGAATGGAAGAGGATGCTGACCACCGGCCGAATGCCAGGCTCCTCCAAGCCGATCCAGCCCAACCAGCACCGCCAGCCAGTCCTTGTCCCCGGGACGGTCGCCAACTCTGAGCTCCGGAACGACAAGTTCAGGGAGGCCGTCACCAACATGGACTGGCTGTACGTCGAGGGCATCCGCTGTGGCGACCTCGGCAGTGTCCGCCGCAACCTCAAGCGATGCGGCATCGACACCAGGGAGTTGGCCGAGATCAACTTCCCTGAGGCCACGGTCATGGAGGTCCTTGTCCGCGACAAATCCAACAAGGCCGACCTTGGTGCCCGTCTGGAGTCGCTGTCGTCCACACATGGCAGGGTCAGGGTCGTACCGGCCTACGACGTCATCCATGGTCTCAAGCACCATGGACTGGCCCTGTCCCGATCCGATGCCATCAAGAACTTTATGGCAAAGTCCCTCCGCCAGGCAGCCAAGGCCAAGACCGCCCCTGTCCGCCGCTGCATCCAGATGCGCATCCCCGAGGAGTACCGCGACGAGTACGACTCGCTCCTCAAGAAGGCCCTGTCCGGCAAGGAGGTCAAGCGGGCGGACATCACCGCCGTCCCCAAGGTCCCTGGTTCTGCCGCTGCCGCTGCCGCTACCGCTGCCCCTGCCGTTGTCGTTGCTGTCGCTGCTGCTGCTGCCCCCGCCGCTGGTGCCTCGTCAAAGCCCAGCAAGCCTCACCCCGCCTACAGAGTCCCGCTGTCCGTCATGGACACTGACTCTGAAGGAGAGGGCCCCCGGGCCAGCAGCAGCGCTGCACGACTCCAATGAATCCACACCCCTCGCAGGGAGGCGGCAGGGCCCAGACATCCCTGACCGTCGCTTCCTTCAATGTCTGTGGCATCAACGTCAACGACGTTGAACTCAAGAACCTCATCGACACCAACGACATCGACTTTGTCGGTGTCCAAGAAACCCTCGCCGACCTCGAACCCCGCAGCCCTCTCTGTGGCTATGCCGTCAAGGTCCCTGGTCCCCGTTGCCGCGCCGGCAGAGGCATCGCCATCCTCTACAACCCGGCCAGGATCGACCCGCACGACTTCACCAACATTGAAGTCAGCGACAAGGGCGACGCCATGTGGGTGACATACAAACACGTCATCCACATCGGCAACTTCTACCTGTCCCCGAGCCTCAAGCTGGACGACTACCGCGAGGCCCTCCAGTCGATCCACACCAAGGCCGCCCTCCCCGACGCCCAGGTCATTGTGGTGGGTGACTTCAATGCCCACCTCAGTGCCCTGAGCGGACTGCCCACGCCGCTCCGTGGCAGGGAGAAGATCCTCGAGGACACTGTCTCCCGCGCCGGTCTCCGCGTTGTGCCTCCAGCTGTGATCCCGACCCACACCCGGCAGCGGGGTCCCAGCTGGACAACGATCGACTACATCTTTGTGTCGCATCGCCAGGCCAACAACGACCCGCTGCTGCAGGTCGACACTGCCGGTGCCTTCCGTGGCCAGTCCGACCACTTCCCCATCTGGGCGACTCTGCGGGTACAGCCAAAGTACTACCCAAAGGTCGACCAGTGGCAGTGGAAGATCGCCCAGCTCGAGGATCCCGCCGTCCGCGCCCAGTACCTCTTGGCGCTGCTGGACGAGCGCGAACGCGGCCTGCAGCGCATCCAGGCTGCACTGCGGCCAATCTCAAGGGGATCGGTCATTCCGATCTCGGAGAGTGCGGCCCAGGACTGCATCGACCGCGCCTGGTCCATCATGATCGCCCTGATCACCACCGCTGCCGACTCCACCATCGGCAAGGCTTCCATCAAGACCGTCTGGAAGGACCCGGCCCTGATCCCCGAGATGCGGCAGCTTCGCGAGAGGCGCCGCGATCTCATCTACCAGCTCAAGTTGCCCGGGCTCTCCCTCCGCGTCGCCGAGGACAAGCGCGCCGAACTCCGCGCTGTCCGCAAACAAGAAAAGAACCTCATCGTCCAGTCCCGCCGAGCAGCCGAGACCCTGGCCATGAACAAGCTGCACTCCCTCAACGCTTCCGAGGTCGCCAAGTCCCTGGCCGCCATGAAGAAGCGCAAGG